CTAACCTTTCTCAGTTGAAAACTGATACTGAAGCTGCATCTTCGAGCGCACGACCTAGGGATAACATATTCGACGTACCCTACGATCCTATAAGCGATACCATCTACGGATACTCGGAGCAGCAGCAACCACTAGTACTCGAGGTGATCTGCAACGGGCGTCGCCTCCAGGCCCTGGTAGACAGTGGTGCGTCCCACTCGGTGTGCGACCGCAGAACGTTGGAGAAAATTGAAGAATCATCAGAAGAAACCCATTTTACAGCAAGGATGGTGGACGGTACGAATCTTACCATCCACGGCAAGTCAACACTGCAGCTGCAGATAGGGGCGTTGAGGTGAAAGCCGACGTTGCCAATCACGAACATCAAGGGATTAGATTTCATCTTGGGGCGAGATTTTCTGAAGTGGTTCAACCCCGAGATCGACTGGGTCAACCGGAAAACGTGCATCTACAACAACGGGAAACGAGTGGAGTTGCGAAGCTGGACGGATACAGGGAGCGTTCCTTAAACGACATTGGCACGGTTCGAACGGACAGTAAACGAGAGTAACACGGGTTACTTAGCACTGGTTATGGCAGCAGCAGAGGAGGAGGTCTTGGAGCAGTACAAGGATATAATGCCCGACGACCTACCCGCAGGCGTACCTCCAGCACGCACCCACGAGCACGAGATCGTGGAGGAACCAGGTGCAAAACCCGTCTCACGTGCACCATACCGACTGAGTCCGACTGAACTGACAGACATGAAAAAACAGATAGAGTATCTACTGGACAAACAACTGATCCGCCCATCCACCTCTCCCTACGGTGCACCAGTTCTCCTCACTCCAAAGCCAGACGGTAGTTTACGGATGTGCATCGACTACCACGCACTGAACAAACAGACAGCACTGACTACAGCGCCAGTACTCATCCTACCGAATCCAGACAGAGACCCCAAATTCACGAGTAAGTTCTGGAGGGAACTCATGGGACTGTTGGGGACAAAGCTTGCAATGTCTTCAGCATACCACCCCCAGACTGACGGACTGACAGAGCGACTCAATCAAGTGGTTGAACAGTTACTGCGCACAGCTTGCAAGGACGACGTCAGCCACTGGGACACACAGTTACCGACCCTAGAGTTCGCTTACAACAATGCATCACATGCGGCCACAGGGAAAACTCCTTTCTTCCTGTGTTACGGACGGAACCACTCACACCACAACAGCCTACCACACCGGCACACGTCCAAGCCGTACATGACTTCGTCACCACCATGCAGCAGCTATGGGAGAAGACTCAACGACGTCTCACCACGATGCAGAACTCCCAGAAGCAGTATGCTGATCGTCAGCGATGAGATCACTCAGTAGCAGTCGGAGATCAGGTGCTTCTTGACACACGCAACTTGATCCTGTCTCACCTCCCATCCAAACTCCGGCCTCGCTTGTGTGGTCCGTTTCTCGTGGAGGCCCAGGTGACACCAGCTACATTCCGCTTGCGCTTACCAGATACGTGGAAGATTCACAACGCTTCCATGTGCAGCTACTCAAACCCTACAAGGACCCCAACCACCAGTTCCAGGGACGGCAGCTACCGCCACCTCCACCTGTTCTTGTGCAGGATGAACCCGAGTACGAGATTGAGCGCGTTCTCTCACATCGGCGCCGTGGCGGCAAGACCCTCGAGTTCCTGATACGCTGGAAGGGATACGACCCCACTAAGGACAGTTGGGTTGCAGAAGCTGATATGGGCAATGCACGCCGTGCTCTCAAGGAATATCTTGTCAAGCAGGGTGTATCTCACGCCACCCAGCTTTGAGGGGGGGACGTGTGAGAGTACGACGGCTTATGCCAGCTATGCTTGCTTGCCTTTACTTTATCATGCTATTTCTAGCATAGGATAATTATATGCATGCATGAATTGCTTGATTTCCTAGGCTAGGTGCTTTCCTATATTTTATTATAGTTCTAGCACCGAGCTAGGTTACGTGCACCGAATTCTGGCTTTCGGTTGCCACCGAATTGCCTTCTACCGAATTCGGTAAGGATCTGTTCGGGATGCTACGCGGCCCGCGGAACCTTCGCGTAACACCTGGTTACGGGGCCTTGTGTCGAGCCTATATATAGCCTCGTGTTGTACCCAGGTGATCATTCAATTCATTCAATTACAATTCTCTTTTGTGAGCTCGATCCTAGATCCTCATACAGCTGCTGGCTCGTCAAGTCCCATATCAACCAACCCTTGTGGTCCTTAGCAAGCCCCAAGTGCACACCCCATCTCCCAGAAGCTTCCAGCTTTCCCCTCTTCTCCTTAGGCAAATGAGACACAACCGTGCAGCCGTAGGCTCTCAGCATGTTGACTGCCGCTGCACTCCCATACCACTTGGTGTAGGGGACCCACTGCTGTCCCCCACAGTCGCCAGCACCCAGCTCTTCACAACAACGACGTGCCGCAGTGCTATTACCCAAAACAGATCCGGCAGCCCTGCGCGCCCAAGGAGAGTGTGAGCACCTTCCTGCAGGGTCCGGTTGAACCGCTCAGCCACGCCGTTCTGCTGAGGGTTGTAAGGCACTGTGAGCTGATGCTGGATCCCCTTCCGCTTCAGCTCCTTCTCAAAATCAGCGCCGATGAACTCTCCTCCGTTGTCAGTGCGGATCACCTTCACCTTGTGTCTGCTCTCCTTTTGTGCTCTCGGCATCCACTCCTTAAGAACAGCCGCTGCCACCTCCCCCTTAGTTTTCAGAGGGTACACCCACACCGCACGCGTGTGGTCGTCCACAATTGTCAAGAAGTAGCGGCTGCCCGAGAGAGAAAGGGCCCTCGTGGGGCCCACCACATCCATGTGCACTAGTGCAAGTGGTGCCTTGGCTGGTCCTGTGCTGCTGCTAAAGGGAAACTTCGTGAATTTGGTCTCAAGGCAGGTAGGCCAGCTCCCAATCTCCTTTGCTGCCCCCTTCACCTCCAGCCCCTTCAAGCAACCATCCTTTACCAACTTCTGCAGCATAGGAATGTTCACATGGCACAGCCTCTCATGCCATGTCTCCCAATCAGCCTCACCACTCCCAGATGAAGCCTTTGCCCATGCAGGTGTCGCATCCACACCAGCAAGCATCTCACCATGTGGCTTCTCACCAGCTGTTGCCTTCCTGACTGCATCCAGGGCCCCATCAGTTGGTGCAGTCTCCTCTCCTCCCGCAGTTGCTTTAGGCGCTGCCGCTGCCTTTGCCGTTGCTGGTGGTTTCCCTTTCCAAGGGATGATGGGCAGCTGCCACAGGTCCTTGATGCAGCTGCTCTTCTCCTCCAAATCCCACAGCAGCAACTTCCCAAGCTTTGCACGGCAGCTGGTTGAGCCGAATGTAACCTTTGCCTTGCATTTCTGCAGCCGGCGCATAGAGAGGAGGTTGGCGGATAAACCTTCAACCAACAGGACATTCCCAAGTCCCACAAGCCCCCCATTGGCTCCCATCACAAATCACAGGGAGCAAAGCACTTGAAGCGGCAGCCACAAAATTTATCTTCCCAGGGGGCTTCACCTCATCAAGCAAATCTGCCCGTGGGGTCATGTGACTCGTGCAACCTGAATCGATCACCCAGTGAATGAGGGGGTGCATCACAACCTTCCCAACTGAACCTACATCATCCTCACTCTCTTTGACATCCTCAACCATGAGGAATATCCCAGGGTCGGCTTTACCTTGTGCACCATCACCTTGTACACCTGAACCATGCAAAGCGCCACCGCGTGCACGTTCACCATTTGGCGGCTTCATGCCAGGAGGCGCCCATCCTTCAGGCCGGCTAAAACACTTGAACCATGGGTGTCCAGCCTTCTTGCAGTACCAGCACGCACCCTCCATTCGGGTGCTCCCCCTGCCTCCTGAGCTCCCTTTCCCCTCATTGTAGTCACCTCGGCCTCTTCCTCTACCAAAGCCTCTCCCACGGCCTCGGCCTCTCCCTCCCCCTCTTCTTCTGCTGCCTTCTGCAGCTCCATACCCCTCAGCAGTTTTGTTGGCAGCACCACCTCTCGTGTGGCGCCTGCGGAAGTCCTCCTGCAGAATCTGCTACCGTAGCCACTCAGGCGTCCATTTGTCCTGCTGAACGTTGAGGGCGGGGATGAGGTTGTCCCACGAGTTGTCGAGCACCAAGATGATCTTGGTGCACTGTTGCATCTGCGACACTTCGCTGCCGGCCCCTGCCATCCTCGCATAGGTGTCCTTGATCTTGTCAAGGACCTGAGAAAACTGAAACGAGAATGAATGCAATATGAAAGAGTTGGGTACAAGTACTAACCCTAATTGGGTTGTACCCTATATGGGCTACCCCACTACAGCCTACACAAAAGCATAAGCTATAATGTTCTGACACACCCCCATAGGCAAAGTGGGGGAGTACAAGGGGTCACAAGACCAGTCAAGCAAAGCAAAGCAAAGCAAGCTCAGGGTGGATCACAAAGTCACCACACATTCCGAGCACAAGGTCAAGGCCAAAAGGCCAGTTCACATGCAAGAGTACATGTATATATAAAAGGCTAGACAAGCAAGAGTAGGGTATATATATATATATATGTAACAGTACAAGCAAGGTCAAGAGGTGAGCAAGTGAGGCAAGGCAGGCACAAGACCCAGCTGAGTACAGAAGCGCTGATGATCACAAGGCGCAAGTGCCTTGGTGAAGATATCAGCAGTGTTGGCCTCGGAGGCCACGTACGCACGACGCAGCTGACCACGCTGCTGCAGCTCACGAGCAAGGAAGTAGCGAAGAGCAATGTGCTTCGTTCTGTGCTCCAATCTCTGCTCTCGACACAAGGCCAGCATGGCCTTGTTGTCTACGTACAGCACTGGACGAGAACGAGGCGGCTCTCCGAGGTCAGTCAGCAGGTAGGTGAGCCAGCGAAGCTCCTAAGCAGCCATGGCCCCGGCGTAGATCTCAGCCTCACAACTGGAGCCGAGAACAGAAGACGAGCTGGTAGCCCGCCACGAAACAGAGCCAGAACCAAGGCTGAAGGTGTAACCCTGTCACGACCGCTGCGTAGCCTGGTCGTCAGCCCAAGAAGCGTCTGCGTGCCCGGTGAGGACCACTGGACTCTGCCCTCGAAGCACAAGCCCCATGCCCGACGTACTGCACAAGTAGCGCAACACCCTCTTCGCTGCAGCCATGTGCTCCGGTCTGTGTCTCCCAGGAGCAACATAGCGTGCGAGAATGCTAAGAGGGTATGCAGGGTCGGGTCGAGTGCAGGTCATCAGGTACATGAGGCAGCCAACAAGCTCTGGGTACAGGCCACTCGACTCTACGGACTCATCCGAAGGCAGAGCTGAGAGCGAGTGGCGAGTAGGCAGAGGAGTGGCCTGAGGCGAGGAGTGCGTGAAGCCGAAGCGCTGAAGGACCTGCTGCACCATGTGTGACTGAGTCAGGATAATGGTGCGCTGTGCTCTGTCCCGGGTGATCTGCAAGCCAAGGTAGCTGCGCAGTTCACCCAGGTCTGTGCACGCGTGTCTCTTCTGCAGCTCGGACTTCACGTGGGCGAATCCAGCAGTGTCAGCAGTGGCAAAGACCAAGTTGTCGACGTACACGAGGATGTAGAACGGCGGCAAAGAAGTGTCGGTGCGTAGAAACAGCGACGGGTCAGCATTAGAGGGAGCAAACCCAAGAGCCGCAAGTGTAGTCCTCAGTCTGTCGTGCCACTCACGCGGTGCCTGGCGGATACCGTAGATTGGCCGCCGGAGGCTCCACTGGGTGCCAGGAGGAAAAGACCCAGTGAAGCCAGGTGGGCGACGCAGCCAGATCTCCTCGTGCAGGCTGCCCTGCAAGAAAGCAGTGCTGAAGTCAAGAGAGTGCAGCTCGTAGTCACGGTGAGCAACTTTGTGCAGCAGTACCCGAAGAGTGGTCATCTTTGGGGTGGGAGAGAAGGTCTGAAAGTAGTCAACTCCCTGCCGCAAACTGAAGCCACGAGCCACGTAGCACGCCTTGAAGACAGGCGGAGAACCCGTCGGCCGCTTCATTCTGAAAATCCACATGCCAGTGACGATGTTCGCCCCAGGCGGGGGAACCTCGTCAACGTAGGTGCCTGTGGACTTCCAGGAAGCCATCTCTGCGTCCATAGCTGCCTGCCACTGAGAGGAGTAGGGACCCTCTATCGCCTCCGCGTAAGAGCGCGGAGTCGGGATGTCAAGTGCATCCGGGTCTCCCTCAGGGGTAAGCAGTACGAACACGAGATGAGGTGAAGCAGCAGCCAGACACTGGAACTCCTCCTGCCTGTCCTCAAGGACGTGCGTGCCCAGGGCACACTCACCCCCAATGGACGGAGGACAGACAGACTCAGACTCAGCGACAAGACTAGCAGCGTAGTCTGGACGACAGCGAGCAGCAAAGTCGATGAGCTCAGTAACTAGGGCAGACGCAGCAGTGGACTCAAAGGAAGGGTCAGTGACGACAGTAGCAAGGAGACGCGTGACAGTAGGACTGGCAGCACGAAGAGAGGCCGACTCCGGGTCGGCAAGAGTAGGAAGAGAGGACTCAGGAGGAGAAGTTAAAGGGGCACGCAGAGGGGCAGTGGACGAACGCAGAGACATCCGGTGCGTGCCAGGGACAAGAGGAGGACACTGACGCGAACCACCACCACTAGTGCGAGCAGGGCGGACAGGCGACACAGGGCGAGACGCAGGCTTACGACGCTCAGCAAGAGCTCCAATAGGACCTGTGTAGGGAGAAGGAGCATGTAGCGGGGAGGCCGGCTGTAACTGTGACGGGACAGGCTGTGGACACTCTAAGAGAGGAGAAGGACTAGTAGAAGGCGGGAGACCAAGAACCTGCTGAAGAAGCAGAACGAAGTACGGCCGAGGCCGCGCAGCGACTCCAGATACAGCAGGAACTTTACCAGCACCCCCAGCAGCAGCACCAGCGCCAGGAGCACCTCCAGCTCCAGTACCTCCACCAGCACCAGTAGTACCCCCAGCACGACCGCCTCCAAGACCGACAGCAGTAGCCTCAGCACAAACACCCTCAGCAGCTCCAGCTCCAGTCGCACCCGCAGGCCTAGCAGCTCCAGTACTCCCAGTACGAGCACCTCCGGGACCCGCGGCACCAGCACCCTCAGCAGCCGGAGAACCTCCAGCTCCAGCAGCACGCCTCCAGCGCCGGGCAAACCACTCACGCAGCTCCTGTGGAGAGAGGGGCTCGCGTCGAGACGAAGTACCCGGAGAACCTCCAGGCCCAGCACCGCCAGACGCCACACGAGTAGGCCCAACCCCCTCAGGCTCCGCACCTCCAGGCTCAGCACCCCCAGGCGTAGCACCCCCAGGCTCATGACCCCAAGGCGTAGCACCCTCAGGCTCAGCACCCCCAGGCTCAGCACCCCCAGTCGCAGCACCCCCAGGCTCAGCACCCCCAGTACTAGCACCCGCAGGCTCAGCAACCCCAGGCACAGCACCCACACGCTCAGCACCCCCAGAGTCAGCACCCCCAGGCTCAGCACCCTCACCAGCACCAGAGTCACCAGTAACCTCGACAGGCTCGGCTGCGTCTACCTGGGACACACCTGAAGGGGCAGGAGCCTGAGGGGGGAGGGGGTCTACCAGGGGGGGACCTGGTACAAGGAAGAGCGGCGGCGGGGGGAGAGACGGAGTGCGGTAGGGGAAGAGGCGGTAGTAAGGGACCGACTCGTCAAACGTGACGTCCTGGGAGGACAGAACACGGCGAGAGGTGGGGTGGTAGAACTGCCACCCTGGTGCGTCAGGGGGGAAGCCAAGGAAGACGCAAGGAGCAGCACGAGGGGACACCTTGTCCGCAGACAAGTCGCGAACAAACGCCCGAGATCCCCAGACACGGAACGCAGACGCATCGCCAACCTTCCCCGTCCACAGCAAAGCTGGGGAGGTCTCCGGCCTGGAGACCTTGGGGTGAAGGTTGATCTGATGCGCCGCGTACCGAACCGCAAACGGCCACAGAAAATGGGGGGCAGCCGCATGCATCATGGACGTACGAGCGACATCCATGACCATGCCAATGCGGCGCTTAGCAATCCCATTTTGCTGTGGGGAGTCCGGAAGCGTGAAGGTCTGGCGGATGCCTCGTGCACGACAGTAGGCTCGCAGAAGGCCAGAGGAGAACTCCCCGCCTCTGTCAGAGTGTAGACGCAGAATAGGAAAGTCCGAGCCGAAGCTCTGCCTAAGCTGGAGACGAGCTACGCGGATCCAGTCGATCAACACTGCAGTGACATCACCCTTGCTGCGCAAGGCGAAGACAGTGGTGTAACGCGAGTAGTCGTCAACCACCAGCAGGAAGTAGCGCTCGTGACCCTGTCCACGGACGCGGGCCGAGCCCCACACGTCCATGTGAAGCGTCTGCAGCGGGGCCTCTGTCGGAGGAAACTGGGAGGAGTGAGGGGCAGCCCGCTGCCGCCCCTCGACACAGGGGACGTAGGTAGGGCCAGGCCCCGGAGGAAGGGGAGGGAGGGAACGGGGAAGACCAAAGACAAGGACACGGGAGGCCATGCCTCGGAGACGAAGCAGGGAGGGGTGACCAAGGCGGTGGTGCCAGAGGAGAGTCTCGTGAGACTGGAGGCGACACGAGCAGGGGGCAGACTCAGGACCAGACCTGGACGCTGCAGCAAACACCTGACCCAACGCAGCTACCTGACCAGACGCAGGGACAGGAGGAGACTCAGTGGTCAGTGTGTACAGGCTCAACCCTGGCCGACGTGTAAAAGTGGCTAGGTGTCGGCCTGTCCGAGCGTCCGTGCAGTGGGTCAACCGCTGACGCGCAGGAGTGAACTGGTGAACCCCCGCATCCTGTAGGTCAGCACCACTCACCAAGTTCGTAGAGAACGAGGGGAGGTAAAGACAAGACAGGGTGCCAGAGGGGGCCGCCGTACACGGGAGGACAGTGGAGTAGTGAGCAAGGACAGGACCCCCAGAGGGGTCTGCCAGAGAGACTGCAACTGGCCGGCCAAGCGGCGTGAGTGTGGTGCGGTCTCGAAAGAAGGAGGGAGAAGCCCCCGAGTCAAGGGTGAAGGTGTGGGAGGCTGAAGCCGACGCAGTACCTGAGAGAGCAGACTCACCAGCACCTGAGGGAGCATACGCACGAGCACCTAGAGCAGCAGCCTCGCTAGCACCTAGAGCAGCAGCCTCACCAGTACCTAGAGCGGCAGTCTCAATGCCCGGGTCGGGCGGAAACCACCGGTAACAGTCACCCTCATCACTAATAGTCACAGCATACATGGCAGCAAGAATAGCATCAAATTCAAGGTCAAAGACAGCTACTCCTGCCCTAGACAGCTCACCCCAGCGGGGGATCTTCGTGGCCTCCGGGAACTGGTGACGCCAAGCGTCCGTCAGGCGGCCAAAGCAGCGCTGGGTGGAGTGCGCACCCCCGCACTGCTCACCCGCGCGGTCGCCGGTGCGTAGGACGTAGGTGCACGGACCAGTACCCCCACCCCGCTGGCGTGCAGTGTACCACTCACGGAGCTGCTGAGGGGAGGGGATGTCACGAGTGCGCTGCTGCTGCTGCTGTTGGCGCTGACCTCCACCGGAGCCGACCCTCTGCGCAGTGCCACCCCGACCAGCTCCACCTCCTCCACCACCGCCTCCTCCACCGCCGCCACCTCCGCCACCACCTCCGCTCGCACCGCCACCGCCGCCTCCTCCTCCTCCACTGCCGCCACCGACACCTCCACCCCCGCCACCACCTCCACTGCCACCCCCACTCCCTCCGCCGCCTCCACCGCCGCCTCCACCGCCCCCGCTAGCTCCTCCAGCGCCCCTGCCCCCCTTGCTCTTGCCAGGGCGGCGTCTCCCGCTAGGGGTAGACGCCGCACCGACCGACTCAAGATCAACGAGGTCGGCCGCAGCAGCAACAGAGGGCAAAAGGGGGGAGGGGGAACACCCCTCAAAGATGGGGGTGCGAGGGTCACCACGAGAGGCTCCTACAGCGACTATGCTCTTCTCCGCTGCTAGGAGGGCCTTCTCGAGGAGGTCAACGGTGAGGGTGGTGGGGCAAACTGAGAGGAAGTGGTCCCTGACTACGCGAAGGGAGTCAGGGAGGCGGGTGACTATGTAGTAGAGAGTGATGTACATGGGGGGGGGGGGGGGTTCTTGGCACAGATTTCAGCAGGAAGCGCAGCGCGGTAGCGAGTGTCACTAGTGCGGATGTGCGTAATGAGGTCAGCGACTGTAGGAAAGGCAGCAAGGTCAGGGAAGAGGTACGGTAGCATGAGGCGGCTCAGTGCAGGAGTGGCAGGGGAGGAGTAGCGTGCAACTACAGCGTCGTACAAGGTCTGAGCTCTCTTGTACTGTCTAAAGTGCGCACGCTCAGAGGTAGGCAGGTGGCGACGCATAGCAAGACATGCAGCAGCATCGCGTGTGGCCCACTGTGAGCAAACAGTGGCCATGACATCAGTAGACTAGTAGCGCGAATAGTGGGGTAAGGGCAGTGCAGTAACAGAGGCGCTGCTCTTACCGGACAGGGCGGCTCGGGCATCTCGGCGGCTCGGCAGCTCGGCAGGAACTGCAGCTCGGCGGCTCGGCAGGAACTGCAGCTCGGCGGCTCTGCTACTTTGCGGCTCGGGCGGCTCGGCTACTCTGCGGCTCGGGCGGCTCAGGCATCTCGGGCGGCTCGGGCGGCTCGGCAGGACGGTGGCTTGGACGGCTCGGGCGGCTCAGGCGGCTCAGGCGACTCGGCGGGGCGGCGGCTCGGGCGGCTCAGGTGGCGCGGCGGCTCGGGTGGCGCTGGCGGCTCGGCAGTAGCCCGGCGGGGTCGGGGCCGGGAAGGGCATGCGACGGGGCCAGCAGGGGCTGGGCTGGGGCCCTAGGGTAGGCGATGGGGCGAGAGGTAGGCGACGGGGCCGCAGGTAGGCGGCGGGGCCGCAGGTAGGCGACGGGGCCTCAGGTAGGCG